TTGAGAGCTTTGTAGGTTAGAAGATTTTGCTGCAAACTATGCTCGTACAAAAAAAAAACAAAAAAAAATTATATATATATATATATATATATCGTACTGTGGCAAGTAGAAAATGATGAACAATTTTCAGCTCCATTCATTCATTTTGGGACTTCTTCAAACAGAACATGATGCTCTCCTGTCCAAGACTGCACCTTGAGATCTTTCCATGAGCAAGTTTAAACGCAGAGAACGCGACGGATGACATGAGGAAGTCTTCATTCAGTCTCTCCCCTCTCCTGATCACAAATATTGATTTTCTGTTTTTACGAATGCTCTTTGGTCGTCTTGCCTTTTGAGCAGTTCAGAGATGGAGATGCACTCTGACATGCTTTCAGTCGTTGTTGATCGGCTCATTAATGACAAACCCCATTGTGCATTAACTATTCTGGGATCTTGACCTGAATTAAAGCTGGACTAGAAAAACTTTCCTTCCAAAGCCTATTTAGAGCTAAAATCTTACCCCGTGAGAGAAAACCAAAAGAAACGAAACCCTGCAGGGTAATTTTGTAAAGTAAAAACAATTTACGCTAAGACCCTTGATAGTTGTTGTGGGGTTTGCAGGCTTAAATTAAATTACTGCACCACTCTGCCCTGTTCCTTTAAAATGTCCAGCTGATTGTACAGTAGCTTGGTGCTGTGCTGTGCAGAACCTCAGCTGGTCTGCAGACTCTGCAGCAGCAGGGCGAGTCTGCAGGATGTGTATGATCTGCTTCAAACTGATTATTTAGCTTTTATTCAAGACGGATCAAGATGCTCACACTTTCATCTTTCAGTAGTTCATTGTTAGTTTTACTGTTTGTTTTCATTTGTTTATTTTATTTCAGCAGATTAAAGGTTGAGTTTTCATTGCAGTTGAACCAGGAGCAGGGTCTGCAACCTAAACATGGTGTCAGAAATCAGCTGATGTGACACATCGTTTCATGCGTTTACAACACTCTGGATTTTTTTTTTTTAAATGCCCATTTTTCTAAGTATTTGCACCTCTTGCTTAGACACAAATGGGATTTTTGGCGAGAGAAAAAAGAAACTAGTTTTAGACTTGAGGTACAGAAGTTTTCAGAAATGATTTAGAGCAGCCTATTTTGGGCGTGTCATCTATCAATTTGTTTCAGAAACCAAAATAACAACAAAGCCTTTTAAACTTTATTTTATATAGCTGTCTCGTTTTAAGTTGGGCAGCCAACTTGGGACCAGAACGTCCCAGGTTCAATCCCCAGCCAGTCCCATGTGGTGTTGCTGAGCAAGACGCCTAATCTCCAATTGCTCCCCAGGCACTTGCTGCCCACTGCTCCACCTGGGTGTATCTCAGGTGTGATGGGTTGAATGCAGAGAACTAATTCCACTCTTAAATGGAAACATACAATGATGAAAATCTCTGGCTTCCCCCTAAATGTGGACTTTTTTGCCACCTAGTGGCACAGCTTGGACATTGCAGTGTTTTTGTTTGATGGCCCCCGATTCTGCACAAACATTGACAATGTTTCTCATTCACACGCTCATATAGTGCTTCCTGTTATATATTTTCACACTACATACAGCACATCATTTATTATTATTATTAGAGAGTGGTGGCACCGAGGTTAGAGAAGGTGGGCCTGTGATCAGAAGGTCGCCGGTTCCACTCCAGGTGCTGACAACATCGAAATGTGTGTGGGATAGGTGAAGCACCCACATCCTCATTTGCCCCACTCTGGACTCTTGAGCAAGGCCCTTAACCCCCACCATCTTCTACCTCGAGCACCCTAGATGGCAGCTCTCTGCTCCACACAGAGGGCTGTGGTAGCTCAGTGGTCTGTGATTGAGACAGGAAGATCATCCGGTGTGAAAATAATCACCAAGTCTTCATGTTACTTGCTTCACTGTGGCAACCCCTGAAGAAGGGAGCAGCCAAAAGAAGAATTTATTATTTTTATAATTATCATTAGATTACTAGTAACATTGGCATCAGAAGCGTTTGTAATGTGGGGGGAGACACACTGGTGTGTGTGTAGGGGAGAGGGGTCTTGGAGTCCTCCTCCAGAAATTTTTGAATGAAGTAGATGCCATTTCCTGCATTCTGGTGTATTTTAATGGGCTGTTAAACATCTACATTTACCTACATAAGTAAACACTTGATTCAATAATTATTTTAGAGAGCAAAAAGAAGTAGCCTGACCAACAGCTCTCCTTGTGTGAATACAGAACGCTCCGCTTCTCCCAAGCATCCTAGTCTCCCCACGTCAAAACCTGCTGGAACTAACGTAGAGCTCAGCTAGCATCGTGCAAAACATACGCGTTAGCTAAGATGCTACAGACATAGCGCTCCGCTTCTCTCACACATCCCAAGCTCCCTGCCCCATCAGCAACTGTCAGCACTAATGTGGCGCTAAGCTAGTGCGCAACACAGAGGTGTCTCCCCCTCCTCCCCCCCCCCTGTGAGCGTCCTGCCAAAACAGATGACCGAGGAGAAACACTCCATGTGGTGCGAAGTTGTCGTCGGTAACCAGGAAAACCAGGAGTGGATCTTTAGTGGTTTGAGTATTCTCCTATTAATCAAGTGGAATGGATTCATTAATGAAGACAGAAACAGCAGTTGTACTAATATTTCATGGTAAATGTGGAGGGGTCTAAATTGTTATTTTTTTATGTTGAGGTGGGGGGCACGTCCCCTTCACATATAATTTTTGCAACGCCTATGATCAGTAAGCATATCAGGATAGGCAGGGGTTTGGTATCTTGCCCAAAATGACTTCAGCAGTGCTGCAGAGGCTGGGGGTCGAACCCTGATCCTCTCTACCACGTGGCTAACTCCAGCCAAAGAATAATGTGAAGGGTGGTGATGGGCTCAGTGTAGACGGGGTCCAAAGGAATGAAAGCAAAACGTTAGTGTAGCCAAATAATGAAATATGTTTGGATTTGGATGGTCGACACTGGATTTCTTTACAAACCACCTGAGTAAATGAGCTGGTCTTACTTTAAAAACATAATTAATTAATAAAAAATCCCAGGACTCGACAGTAGTTTTTAAACTTCTGCCTGTTTGAATTCTGTGTGCACATCTCCTCTGTCTGACCTGTTAGATGCCACGAGTTGTTAGTCTGCTCGGTCCACACAACACGAACGTGTTTCTGCTTCTTAGCTCAGTCCACGCGTCGTGTTTCACTGCTCAGTTCGGGTGAAAAGCTTGTCCTTCGTCTGTCACTAACACTGCACAACTTAGTAAAGGTCACTCCGTGCTTAGAGAGCAACACAAGGTGTCAGGTTTGCTGCAGTCAGATGAACAATTGTGTCAATATGCATTTATAATGTTTAGCCTCATCCTGCGTCTCCTCCTCACAATCCATCCCCTCGCTTCATCTCACTGCGTTTCCTTCCACCCTGTCCTCGTCTCAACCAACGCTCTCCATTTTTCACTCATCATTTCTTTCTTGTGCCTGCTCGCTGTTTCCTCCTCATCACTGTGGAAGCTGCTGGCGTGTCAGGGTGGCGTTACGTAACCAGCCTGAGGTAGTAAAGCCTGCATGACGATGTGCTCTGATGCTGTTCAGTCTGTTGTCAGCAGCTGAAGCAGGACAACATGCCTTCTCAGACTTTGTAACATTTCATTTAAAACATTTTGCTCATTAGTTTTTATTGAGGTTGGTCCTTCTCTAGAAAGTTAACCAGCTGATGTCCCCCGTCGCAGAGGGATTTGAACAGTGAATGTTTAATAGTTTTTGAGATGAGTGTTTTTCTGGACTGGAATTGACGAGAGAATGGAATAAACCTTCACGTTTTTGGTGCAAGATATTCAAGTGGGTAGAAGTTACTCTGTGGAGAAGAACAGAGGTGGATTTTTTTTACTTGGCCCAGGTGGCACAGAGTGACAGATCCTGGTGAATGGAGGGAGAAATTTGAACTAGGTGCAGTGGTGGAGCCAGGGGGTGGCCAATGGTGGCCTTGGCTAACGTAGATTAATCTTCAGCCACCCCAAGGGCCACCCCCAATCATTTGAGGAAACTTTAAGCAATATAAAAACTAGAAAGCATAGTTTCCTCAAATGACAGATGGATGGTTATATATATTTATTTATTTATTTTTCCCCCCTCTTTGCTCCATGACAGGTGACAAAAACGGAAGAAAATTAAAAACTGAGTAATTCAATTTTGAAGGATGATTTTGTACTAGAAATGCAAAATTTGATTAAATTCAAGTCAGCCTATTTCATCTGCCATTTGAAAATCCAACTATTTAGCAATTTTTTATTATTATTATTTTTTTTTTTTACAATTGAGACACTAAATCAGTATTTTCCAGTCAAACAAAGCCCTTTTGTGTTTTAGCAGCTTCCTGTATCAAGATATGACAACAGAAATGTCTCAGATAAAACAAATAAAAGCAAGAACAAAACTCTGTTTAATCATTTAATCAACTGCATATTAGTTTTGTCAGAAGTGTTTTATATTAGATGCCCTTCCTGATAAAACCTTCACCTCATTCAAATACACCTGCAGTGGCTGGTTTAATCTACCCTATTTCTATGCTTTAACAAATAAACAATGATAAACATAAACAATAATTTAAAAGTTCAGTGCATGTTTGTCACTCAGAGTTCGAAAGCTGGTTGTAGTCCCTGAATTTTATATGAAGGGACTTGAAACTCGAGTTTAAGTGGATTTCTTAACATATTTACATATAAACTAATCATAAAATGAGTTATGGGATCATTCCAGGTACAGCATAGATCTTTTGAAGTAAAGTCCTACATTGCTGCAGCAGAAATGTGCTCCATTAACTGGCGTTTCAGAGAAATGTTTTGAACTGTGTGTTCTCACATCTGTGTTTAAACAAAAAGGCCTTGAGCTCACGTCTCCATCTACCGATTCTCATGTGACATGTCAGTTCTCGTTGCTCGTTGCTTATATATTTTCATTGTGTTCTCCTGCAGGCTCCATGTTCTCGGAGTTGAGCTGAAAATCGCAGGGTGAGAGCGACGACAGACGTAAAGTTGAGCGAGCGGTTGTCTGGCTCCATGTCTGCCCCTGCTCCAGCCAGTCGGAGGTCTGCGTCGGGTTCTCGTCGGTAGGTTGTAAAGAAGCGTCTGCTAACTGTTCGTGGTTCTTAGTTCTCATTTTGATAACAGAAGCATTGTTTCCAGTGTGGACACAGTCGAGCTCTTTGTGCATGTTCATCATGACTATACAACTAGTTCATCTCATACTGGAACCAGGAAGTCTGTAGCTTACGTTAGACTGCAAGTGAACATTTTGTCCTGTAAGGTTTCCTGCTGGGGAGTGAAAAATGTGCAAGATTTGGACATGACAAGCGCTAAAGAACACCAGCACTAAGGGATGGAAGCATCTCTACCACTGCCGCTCTCGTCGTTTCACTCCCAGTCTACGATGTTTAGGACCTGCCAAATGTGGTCCAAGTTGTCAACGAGGATGTGGGCGCCATTGCTCAAAATGTACACGTCAGATAAATGCAGGTTGTTTTGTCCAATCTGATGGAAAAGCTTTTATCACTTTAACTGCTGAAACCGTTTAAAAAGAAAGGTGGCCGTTGTTTTGAGATACGATCAGCTGTGTTTGAGCCTTTTGTTCCCATTTCACACTCCAGTTCAACAGCTGGCAAATATACAGTTTTGTTTGTCAGCTGTTGATCCAAAAGAAAATAATCAAGAATAATGTGTTATAAATAATCCGCTGCCTTTCATGTGTCTGTTTTACTCTTAGCGATGAACTGTGCCAAAAGAAATGGCGTCTGTCTAAAGACAACACCAGTTCTGTAAATGTTGAGACTTTGTGTAAATAAAAACGGACTGATCGTGAAATTTGGAAATATCACAAACCCATATTTTATTCACCATGAAGCATAGTAAACATATACATTTCTAAAACTAAGAAATTGTACATGTTTTATTATATGAGGTGACGTTTGTAAAGTTACACTATCAAAAATTAACAGCAATATTTTGTTTTATTTAGCTTTTCATTAGAAAAAAAAACATTTTTTTTCAAAGTCATATTTTCACCGTTATTCATACATTTATAAATGTCATAGTTCACTAACTAAATATTTAATTTACAATCATTTAATTTTACAAACTAAATACTTAATTTGCAAGTTAAATATTTAGTTAGCAAGCTAAAAAATGAGCTCCATACTAAATATTTAGTTTACAAACTAAATGTTTATGTCCAAGCTAAATGTTTAATTTACAAACTAAATTTAACTTGCAAATTAAATATTTAGTTAGTGAACTAAACATCTAGGTGTAAATTAACTATTTAATGTCCAAGCTAAATATTTATTTTCAAAACTAAACATTTAATTTCCAAACTATTTATTGTCCAAGCTAAATATTTAATTTCCAAACTAAACATTTAATTTCTATGCTATATATTTAATTCCTAAACTAAATATTTAGCTTGAACCTAAATATTTATTTTCAAAACTAAACATATAATTTCCAAAATAAATATTGAATTTGCTAACTAAATATTTAGCTTGGACCTAAATATTTATTTTCCAAACTAAACATTTAGATTCCAAAATGAATATTTAATTTGCTAACTAAATATTAAGGTTGGACCTGATTATTTAACTTGCAAGTTAAGTAGTTAGTTTGTAAACTAAATATTGAAATTGTAAATTAAATATAATTACATTTATAAAAGTATGAATAACATGGTGACAATATGACTGAAAAAAAAGGCAAACCAAAATATTGCTGCTAATTTTTCCACTGTGTAACTTTACAAACGGCACCCCATATTATTAGGGTATTGTTAAGTTTTATGGCAGCAACACATAAGAAATTTGTGAGAGTGGCAACAAAAGGCTGTAAAAATGTTCAGAACAAGAAACAACTAGAGGAGCATTTAGTAACTAATTACCGTAGGTTAATTCACAACAGGTCAGTGGGAGGACGGGGTATAAAAACAACTTTTTAGAAAGGCTGAATCTCTCCATGGGCAGAGGTTTTAAACAATGTGTTATTTACAAAAAGACCAAGTAACTGGAACATGATGAATCAAATGTATTGGTGTTTTCTTCTGAGCCTTTTAAAGTGTGCGGAAGGATAAAAAAAGACAACAAGAGATGTATTTTGTGTAACAATAAACCAATTAAGTATAAACTTCTAATTTTTCTTTGTTGCAATTTGGAAATTTATGCAATCTACAGTATTTTTTATTGTAGTAAAAACAATAATTGTTGAATCTTGTTGTGGTTCTGGTTAGCACAGTTAGCGCTATAGGACCACTGAGAGTCAGTCTGGGTTTCCTATTGGTTAGTGAGTTGCATGATCACATTTTATGGAACTTCTATTTCATTCTGAGTTTTAATAAGTATTATTATTCCAACTATTGCTTCCTATGGCTTGTTTGTTCTTCAACCAGAGCCAGCTCGTCTGCTCTCAGTGGTTCTGATGGTGTTAGTGGCCTGATGATGACGAGTGGTCACAGATGAGTCTGTGTCTGTGGTGTCCTCTTTCTCATCTCCTCTTCCTCAGATTCAACCCTCTGAAGGCGCTGCAGCCCAAACGCCGCTTGCAGCAAATTGTGGCGTCCTCGCCCGTGCCGGCGCCCAAGCCGGCATCGGAGTCGGGGACGGGGGCATCCGCAGCCACGCTGCAGGTGGCTGTTCCGGTGCCTGCACCCCCTGCGTGAGACACACTTCAATGACAGTCTCGGAGAGCATGAGCTGTAGCTGTAGCTCCGACGCTGCAGCCACTAAACCAAAACTGAAACATAAATGGCAACAACAGCACACGGGCATCTTTATGGAGCTGAGCTCTCATTTTCTTACACCCGAGCATTTAACCTTAACTTTAGCTGGTGTGAAATGATGTTTTACACATTTAGGTTTGAACAGGACGTCTTAAAAGCTGCTTTAGGGGCTTCATCAAAACTGAACATCCTCAGATGAGATTTGAATTTCAGTTTGTTTACACTCACTATACCTAGATTTATTGTTTCTTACTAACATTTCATTATCTTTATGGTTATGTCTATAAAGATTTCAGTGTTCAAAGTGTTTCAGGTCAGAATATGACATCCCATAAATAAACGAGCTCAGCACATGAAGAGGAGCTTCAGTCTACAGCCATGCTGCGTAAACTGTTTTCTTTATTTTAATTTAAAGTAAACAGGTTTTAGTCATTAAAACGGAACTGTTTTCAGCGCTGATGCGTGTGTGCTGCTGTTGGTGAATTTGAAGTCGTGCTCTGGAGGCAGACTGTGATCACGACTGATCACTGCTCAGCAGCATCCTCTGCACCACCAGCGTCATCGCAGATCAAAAAGGCTTCCTCTGAGATCTGACTCAGCACAATTCAGTGTCATGAGCAAAGTCACTGTTTGTAAAAGAACACGTCTGCACTTCACTCATGATTACTAACGCTTCACCAACGCAGGCTCCATCTGAGCAGATGGAGGGAAAAGGCACCGTTGTGCTCTTTTCAGTCACTTTCCGGGCTCATTGCTTACTCTAGGCTGCTCCCCTCTGCCTGTTGCTGCTCTTTTAATGTCTTGGCATCTTATTTGTCAAATATTGATCTTCAAAGAGCTATTGAGCTGTCAATATCTGGCCTCTTCTCTGTATTGTATTGCACAGGACACGTTGACTCAGCACAACCGCACAAGGGTTTAATTCAACAGCATTTCAGCTCTAAATAGTCTCTAGTGAATTAATAAAAACTTAAAGTGCATAACTTTTACTCAACATCAGCTAAATGCTAAAATAAATTATAAAAATAGCTCAGGTGGGGGAAAAAGTCATTACATTACAAAAAAATGTAGACTGTTAAAACCTTTAGGTGCATTAGCCACAGTATGCTACAGGTCGTATTGGGCCTTGTCGGGCTTTATTCATGGTTAAAATGATTCTCATTTAATAAATATTTTATAATTTAGAGTTTTGTGGCTGCAATAAATTGTGACAGTTGTGTCTCCTTCCTTCAGTCAGCAAAACAGCTTTTGAGATTAAAGTTGGCGTTCATCAGGGTTCATGTCTCAGCCCACTGTTGTTGGTTGTTCAATTCAATTCAAAATACTTGATTAATCCCAAAGGGAAATTATTTGTTGTTGTAACTCATTATCCTCATTGTTGTGATAGATGCAGTTACTGAACTTATTAGGAGAGAAGTGCCGTGATATATGTTGTATGCAGATGACCTACTTGTGGCTGGAGATTCTGAAGTTAATCTCCAAGATAGTTTCAGACGGTGACAACAGGCACTTGAGTAAAAGTCTGAAAATAAATGCAGCAAAAACAGAGACCATGGTCTGCTGGAAAGCTAGTGAGACCTTAACAATTACTGATAATAGAGGAAATGTACTGAATCGGGTTGAAACGTTCAAGTATCTGGGGTCGGTGATAAATGCCCAAGGAATCTGTGAAGAAGGTGTTAAACACAGAATTGGTGTGGCGTAACAATAATGAAAGGAGCTGACTGGAGTGCTTTGTGACAATAGAATGCCGATTCGTAGGCAAAGTGTAAATAATTTTTTTTTTAATTAAAGGGAAAGATGATGGTGCGCCGTCTTGCTTTGTGGAGTATGGACATTAAAGCGAAAGGAAGAGGAACTCCTAGAAAGAATAGCAATACGGATGCTATGTGGGATTCTTGGAGTATCCGTCAAGGATAGACAACAAAATGACGATGTTAGAAAAACGCTTGGCACGGCATGCATCATGTATAAGATACAGAAATCAAGAATGAGATGATATGGGCATGCACAGCAAATGGAAGATAACGAGGTGAAAGGGCTATTAAACAGAAGTTTTCGGTCAATGAAGCAGGGGACAGCAGAAGAAGAGGTGGATGGATATGAAGACACTCCATCTCACAACAGATGATACACGAAACAGCAAAATGGAGAAGAAGAGTCCATGTGGCTGACCCTGCTCTGAAAGGAGCGGGACCTACAGCCTGAAGGAGAGAGAACCTCCAAGTTGTCCAGAAAAACACCTAAAGGCGCCGTTACAACCAAACCGATGGGTTGATAGCACCCTTTAGTGGCAGCTCCAAATATGACAGTTCATTTGATAAATTACTACGTTCTATTATTTTAATTTTGAGTTTAATATTGTAGCCACACAGCATTTTTTAAATTCTAACCCTTATTGACTTTAGCACGAGACCCAAAGCATCGGTACATTTTTGCCTAATTGCTTATTCACAAAGTCTTCCTTCCACTTGCTCTTTAAAGAAAAAATTATGCAAAATGTTAAATTGCTTTACCATCATGAAATGTTAACAAACAAAACAAACAGAAAAGTCCACAATTTGATGTACAGAAATAGTAATAGACTAAATATAAATAATTAAAATAGTTATTTGTCTTGGTTCAGTCCAGTTGATTTATCTTTAGAACATCATCGTTATCATCTGACCCAACACAAAGACAAAAGCCATGTTCAGATGTGGTGTGTTGGCGTGTAGTCACCGTGTCCTGTGTCCAAATCCCTCACGACTGCTCTGACTTGTCCTGTTCGTCCTCTCCTCCAGCTGTGGAGGCCAGTGACTGGGCAATAATCCTTTTGAAATATGTCGCTAATAATCTGAGCTTCTGACAAAACTTGTTTCTAAATATGGAGCATTATAACATTTATTGCAACAACAAATTGTGACACAAGTTGCCCATCATGGATTGTCCTTCCTTTGCTTGGCTGTACTTTGACTCTCAACTTCATTGTTTTTAGCAGGATGGTTTCAGGAGGAACTGCTGAGGATCAGCAGACAGTTTCATTTAAAGACAGGAACCAGGAGGGAACAGCTGGCACAGCTCACACCAAACCCTTAGAATAAACTGTGTTGTCATTTATTTCAAAAAGGCAAACATATAGATTTTAAAATGGACATAAGTTTTTCTGAATTTTAAAAGGAATAGTATGCTTGTAGCACGCAAAATAAAATATTTAATAGCAGCTTGAGAGCCAGGCTGAACTGTTACCTCTTGCGTTCAGTCTTCCAGCCTCGAGGTTTATGTTTAATGAACGAAGCTATTTTCTAATGTCTGTTAGCTCCCATGTTTGTATCCTCACCATGGTTCTCCCAACTCATGCCAATCTGAACATTTTATCTGGAACGATTTGCCTTCTGGAAGTTCTCCTTAACATTTACATTTTAAACAGCAGATGTTTTCATAACAGCTGTACTCTTCATAATTATAGTGCGTGTGCTACGTTTGGGGCTACAAATGAAAATACAGTTCAAATTTTTAAAATGACCATTTTTCTGATATGATATGGAAAGTTAGACTTCTATTTATTAGCTTTGAACAGTTTGTGGCAGCTGAATGGAGCAGCTCATCCTGGTCAAATCATTTCAAACGGTTTACAACTATAAACATCATCTGCTGTGCTGTTGTGTTTGGATGCATTTGAGTGAAAGCTTATCTGATGTAAAATGCTTCTGGATGATGAGGCTGTTAGAAAGAAATGCTAATGTTAGTACGCTCTCCTGCTTCCCTCAGGGCATCTTTTCCTCTTAAGTGTTTCAGACTTGAGAGTGTTGCCGTTTCGTTCTCTACTGGTAAAGCTGCAGATCGTTTTGTGTAGATGTTCCACATCGGAAGCCAAATTGAGCTTCAACCTGTTAATGCACGGCCTCTTAGAGAGCCACGTCTCTTCAGTGCTTGTTGGTTTGACTTTGGTACCACCTGCCAAGACGCAACATGCCTGACAGCTTTGTCTCACCTCCAGTAAAACTCACTGTATAGATTTGGAGCATGCACGTGGCATCATGTCTGACAATCCATCGGTGTATATATTTCCTATGCTTGATATCAAGCGTAATTTCTGCCCACCTTTTCTTGTGACAATGCCATAACTGTATGTTTGTTTTCACCACTTTGATGTTTTAATGCATCAGTTGAACAAACTTTCTTACTAATAAGATTTTTTTGCCAACCAGTGGTTCTTTTGTCCAACTACTTAGAGGATAAATAATAATAGTCGACCAAAGTGCTGCAGTACAAACCCAGAAGCACCAGCTGATTCTTTTAAATGCACTAGTGGACCACTAAATCAATATAGTTGAAGGAAACCAAGTATAAAAAAACCTCTTACATGTTTACTAATCAACACAAATTCTGTAACGTTTTACTCAATACCCAGATAATAAGTGACCAAAAATAGCAACTCCAAGACCAGGGAATTATTAACAGTGTTTACTTACAAAAAGTGAAAATCAGTGGTTGGCTGCAACTCAGCTGGGAGGGACTGGAACCCTGGAGATCAAGGGCGAGGGTTAATATGGAGGTTTGGATCCTTGAGGATGATTCAATATATGGTTTGTCTCTTACTGTTAGAAGCCAAGATCATCACAAGGGTGAAGGTCCAAATAGTTCCAGTTACCATGAACGAGGAAGTTCTAAAGAGGTTGCATACATCAGGGTGGAAGTCGAGGAATGGCTGAAAGAATCACTAGGAGGTTTATAAGCTGAAGCCAGGGATGTCCACGGCACAGGAGGAACACAGGAGTCATGTCTGCAACACGTTAGAATAAGACATTAGTTTTAACAAATCACAAGGACTGGTAAAGTGGTTAGGAACACAACTACCGGTAGGCAGACAATGCATCAGCGTTGAAGTGACGTCATCGACTGCCATTTATACTCCTGCAGCTCATTAGTAGATCGGTCCACAGGTGTGTGCTCGTTGGCGCCATCTAGTGTCGAGAAGCTGCAGGAGAAAAACTGGAACTTCCACAAATTCTACTTACTATTTCACTAGTTACTGTCAAATGTGCACATTAATCAAATAGTGCAAGTTAAAAATTTAATGCTAACAAGTCGAATCAAATTCTGCTCAACTAACTGCTCATGTATTAAGTCATGTATCAAGTTAAATAGCGAGAATTTTGGTCTTTGCTTCAAGGCTAGAATAAATTAGGTTGCAGCATAGTGTGCACATTTGACGGTGACTAGTAAAACCGTGGGTAGAATTTATATTGATGTTAACATGCAAGAGTTTTTATGTCTGCTAGTTAACGTCTATGGTCCGGTGGTTGGGTTCACTTTTGTACTAGTAGTTCTGCACTTTGGCTGACCACTTGGATTTCCCCTTAAACTAGTTTTAATAAAAGTGTCACCAGTTGAAAACTAAAGTCTTCCTAGTAAGAGTGTTTGTTCAACTGGTGTACCAAAATGTCAAACTAGTACAACCAAATGTGCAACCAGTTCAGAGTAATTGCAAACTAGTGGGCAAATATGATGCTTGATATCAAGACATCAAATAAAAACATGAATGGCTGCCAGTGGTGTGGCCCAGTGAACAATCCTCTGTAATTTAACGCTCTCTCGTCTCTGCCCGCTCAGGTTTGACTACTGCAGATTCATAGAGCTAGATTATGTTCCCATGGAGACAGGCTATATGGTCTCAATGCGTCCAACTAAAGGCTATGCATCGACCAAGTCTCCGACTAAAGGATACACCTCTACGAAGTCATCGGACCGCCACAACCGCTCGACAAACTCTCCCTCCACCCCACGTTCCCGGTCCGTTCTGAGTCCTTCCTGTTGGTGTTTTTTTAGTCCTCTGAAGCACGAGAATGCTGTTATTGTCCAGTGATGTCACATGCTGGAAAGAATAACTTGTTTTTACACCAATGTGTCAAGTCTGATTTGCTACTCTCCATATTTTTCTTGTGTTTTTATGCATGCTTCTTTCTGTGTCAGTTTAAATGTTCTTTGCTGAACACCGTCCCTGTTTAGAAAAACTGTAACACCGACAGCGTTCAGAGGGGTGCGACCACGTTTTGTGATCTTTCTGTGAATACAGTATGTGTGCTGTACTGGCATGTTGGTGGCCTTGGACTGAAATTTGTTGCATTTGTGTCCATCTTTATAGATGAGTGATGGATTTGGTTTAGCAGTTCAGTGGGCTTTAGTTTTATGATAAAAAGTAAAAAGTCACATGTCTGTTTTTTCTTTGGACCAGGCGGACGCCGGCTGCACCCACCAGCAATGATCCCTGCTGCAACGTCTCCGCCAGCAGTGGCAGCAACTCCGGCTCATGTAAAGGCAATGAATGCAGCCCCAGCAAAGGGTAAAACATCCCAAGCCACATGAGTTTACTCAGAAAGGCTGCTTTGTTTCACTCATTTTAAACCAAATGTGAAATACATAAAAAAGTAACAGTTCTAAATCCAACATTTTTCAGTCAGGTCATCTGGACAGTTTCTATTTTTGTGCTGAAACATTTCGCCTTCGATTCCGGATCGAATCAGCTTTGTTGTGCGTTTACTTGACTGATGAAGCCTTCCGGATCGAAGGCGAAACGTTTCAGCACAAAAAAAGAAACTGTCCAGATGACCTGACTGAAAAATGTTGGATTTATTGTTAATCATTTCTCTTAGCTATTTAGTATTGTTCTTTTAGTGATTGGTCTGTTCTTCTTAGCCTAGTTTATGTGTACATCCAGTAGAGTAACCACGAGTGAGGGAGGTAGTTGTCATGAAGATCTGTGGGGTTCACTCTGTCCATGTGTGTCGAACTGTAAAATACAGAATATAAAACGCCGTCTGGTGGTTGACACTTGATCTACAACAAGAGCTACACATCTCTAGCTGTGTGCTGCCACTCATGTTACAATGTGGACACCTGCGGCTTATACACAAGCACAGCTTATATTTGTACAAAATTGTTTTTGTTTTTTTTATTTAGTGTGCACGGCTTATATTCAGGTGTGCTCTATAGACCGGCAATTACGACAGTTGAAAAAAATATATATATATTTGCCATTTTCCAAGCCAATATTACAACGTGAGCTGGCTGCGGGCCACAGGACCCGGAAACCCGCCCACGTCGCTCCCCCCAGCTCGAACCTCCCTCAGAAGCGGCAACTCACACTAACAATAAATCAAGGAAACATGAATTCAGTTTTACCAATTGTATTAAAGTTAAGGCAGGAAAAGGTTACGGTTTACAGCGCTGGCCTCTTCGGTCTATGACGCAATCACAAACCAGAAGGGGCGATGTCCCGTTCATTACTGATTTATAGGCCTCTAGACTCCTCCTTCGCAGAAGGGGAGCTCAACCTGTCACATGTATGAGGGGGCGTGGCTAACTGTGATCTCAGTGGATCTTACGTGGTTTGACGTGTAAGGAAATATGAGACAGTGCTTCAAAAGCCTTTCTACGTGATGTAGCAAGCAAAAATAAACTCTTTTCCTTGACGGATATTGAATCCCTGGGAAACTCTTTTTAGAGTTGCTGGCCCCGTTTAACCCAGTCAGAACCGGGTCATAATTTCATTATAATCCCGTCTCTGAGTAGATCAAAAACCCCAGGACTAGTCTAGATAAATATCCAACACCAAAAAGAAACGTATAGACGAAATATTCAGAAATCTGAAAAGTTTTGTTTTTATTTTTGACTTCCTAATGGTATGAAATGTTCTTTATGAGTATTTGTTTTGTTTTTCAAATCATTGAGAAAGTTAAAAAGTGAAAAGTGAAAAGTGCTACGTGGTCACAAGGAATCACTAAAGTCATAAAAGTTGATTCACACGGTTTTACTGTCATTTCAAACTGCAAAAAGCAGATGTTTCTGATTGGAAAGTCTTTACAATCTGTCTATAAGCTCTTCTTAAAACATCAAAACTCTAACATTACATTTGACTTTCAGCCTAATCTTTAATCCTGTATCTAAATACTGCAAGTTGTGAAAACTACTGTAACTACAGTTAAGGAGTAAGGAAATGACAATACATATGTTAAACAGACTCATGCTCAGGTTCTGTCTCTAATGAAAAGGCTGCATTCAGCTAAACTTAAAAGTTTTTAATACATTTAAAACACTGAAGTAGATCTTGAATTAGGAGCTGCAATGTAGATATTGATATTTTCCACGCTTACAAGATGCTCTAAGTGAACATGGAAACATCAGCAGAACCTAAAAGTTACTTGGAGGAATTGGAGAACAATTCTCTTAGAGAACAAATTTGACCATCTTGAATGAATCAAACCTATATTAGTTATGTACCGTAAACTGAAAATGATTACATAAACACCTGTTTTAAACATAACAGCCACTTACAAGCTTCCTAATATCATAATCATATCAGAGCTGCCCCTTCAAACAAGCTTTTCTGCTTCTACCCTTAAAAAAAATCTCTGCCCCAAAAAGTAAAGTCATGGGCAATTTAATTAAAAACACAAATATAATTAAACAGTACAACTAAATTGCAAATCTATTTTAAAGTTTCAGTGGGTCATTAATAAATGTTTCATTATTTATTAAGAATACGAGAGAAATGTTTGATGGGTAATCACATTACATACATCATGTATCGAAATAACGGCACCAATTTGTCAAAATAACAGCAATCAAAATGTAGAAAAGATAGTCCAATTTACTTTCATTTTTTTAAGTCCTCATTGTACAACTAAACAACCAAGAATTGAAGCACATGAAGGTGGTGGCAATTGAGATAGTACTGGAGCAGGTGTGAGGATGCTTGAGAGAAGTGTAGTGTGCTCTATTCACACAAGGAGAGCTGTTGGTCAGGTTACTTCTTGTTGTTCTCTAAAATAGTTATTGAATCGAGTATTTACAAATGTAGGTAAAGTAGATGTTTAACAACCCATTAAACTGGCATCTCTTTATTCAAAATGTTATGTGGGAGGACCCCGAGAACCCACTCCACCCCACCCGTCCTATTTGCTTTCTGGCATCGTTTGGTTTAAAATAATAATAAAGTGCTGTGTGTTGTCATCATTCTATGTTCCCATACAAAAATGAAAATGGCTTTCTGCATTTAACCCATCACACCTGGGATATACCCAGGTGGAGCAGTGGGCAGCTATGTAAGCGCCGGGGGAGCAATTTGAGATTAGGTGTCCTACTCAGAGACACTACGACATTACAAATTAAGCACTGCTTAAAACCTTCTCCTGCATTTACTTGTATGCTGTTTGTCCCAGGCGTCAGAAGTATACATCATGTACAGACAACCATGGCATCCGTCCTCCTCCTCCAGAGCAGTACCTTACACCCCTCCAGCAGAAGGAAGTGTGCATTCGACACCTGCGAGCCAAACTTAAAGAGACTGTCAATACACTGCAGGACAGGTGAGACAATGTGACAACAAAAGCAATTCTTTAAACTTCCCAGAAAAATAGTTCCTATATTGCTTATTCATGTACATTTTCATATTTTTGATCATTTCTCAATGTCTTAGGGACACGGAGATCGACGAATTGCGAACTCAGCTTTATCGCATGCAGGAAGACTGGGTTGAGGAGGAATGTCACCGCGTGGAGGCTCAGTTAGCCCTGAAAGAAGCTCGTCGGGAGATCCAGCAGCTAAAGCAGGCTGTAGACACTGTTCGAGCCAGGCTTAGTGATGCTGGTGGGATGAGTGGGGACGTAGGTGTCCAGAAGTACTTCCAGGACATCAACACTCAGAATCACAAGCTGGAGAACCTTTTGCTTAATATGGAGTTGGCCCAGGCAGGATTAGCCAAGGAAGGAGAAGCCATATCAGGCTGTAGGACTCGTGTTGGGGGTTCAGCACCAGCATCTGTTTCAGGAGAAAGTCCTGGGGTTGTTCCTAAACTTACAGTGGGAGGGAGGGGGTCTTGCTCTTGTGATGGCTCTCCAGCCCGGTCTTTGACTAGGAGCTCCACCTACACCAAGCTGAGCGACCAGGCACTGGCAGACCGGAATGAAAATGGTACAGATTTTCCTTGCTTGTCAGGGGATGGTACCCAGGACAGTGGCTTTGTGTGCTGCGGGGAAACAAGCATTCCCAGCCGGGCTGACTTGCTGCTGGAGGCCGCCTACCTCTCAGAGGAAACAGCATCTTTACTTAACTCCTACACTCATACCTTCTCCCATTCTTTGCCTCATTCTATTCCCCCCTCTCAGCCTCACACCTTCTCTCATACCTTACCTCATTCATTCCCTCATATGTCCCACGCAGTGCCGCAAACCATGCCACATTCCTCTACCTATGAGAAGCTCTGCACAGGTGATCGTCTGACATCGTTTCGTTGTGGTCTTGGTGGCATGAACTGCATGAACCACCCGTGCCTGTCCCATCACCACTTGTACCTACACCCACTAAGGGAGGCAGGCATTCAGACTGAGAGCTGCCCCATCCCTTCAACAGCTGGGTATCCCTCTGATTTAGACACGATTGCAGAGCAACGCACCTTTCGCTCTCAGGCCTGCAGCCCCACCTCCACTTGGATGTCTGATGTGGAAGAGGACTTGGACTCCATTACCACCACAACTTCAATAACTACAGCCACTGTCATGAGTACAGCTACAGAGCCAATTCCAGTGTGCAAAACCCCACTGGTTCCTCTTTTACCCCGCTCTGCCACAGTGGAATGTTCCATGGAGAGTCCACTGTACAGGGAAACTGAAAAACCTGAGGAGGAGGAAAAGCAGGAGAAGGAGAAAAAAGAGAAAGACAATTCTTTGAAAGTGGAGCAGGTGGAAACAATTGTTATTAAGCAAACAGGAAAGGACCTTCAGGCAGAGGAATGTTTCATGGGAGATATGGTGGGGATAGATGAAGTGTCTGGAGAAGCAGAAGCCCTACGAAAAGGTTGCAATTTAGCTGAAAACTCAACAAGAACACAAGCAGAGCTTAAGTATGTTGGATGCTGTGGAGAAGGCAGATCGGATAAGACAACAGTCAAAAGTCAAGGAGAAGAAGTCAGGCAGGAAGAGGATGGTTTATCAGCGCTCTCAAGAAAGCCAGAGACGTCTGAACTGAGTCCAGATTGCACCAGACTATCTCCAGGCGAACAGCAACCTCACACATCCCAACCACCAAGGAGATCTACGTCCCATGAGGAAATAGCAGGTGTCACAGTTGTGGAAGTCAATGATGAGGACGACGAGGACAATGATGAAGGTAAAACGAAAGAACAAGGGGCCACAGGGGGCATCGCAGCAGAGGACGAAGACTCATCCAAGGTTCAGAAAAGTTACTGGAGTCGTCACTTCTTGGTTGATCTACTGGCAGTGGCCATCCCTGTGGTGCCAACTGTGGCATGGCTCTGTCGCGGTCCGGTCCGCGGTGGACAGCCCATGTATCACATCGGGTCACTGCTCAGAGGCTGCTGCACTGTGGCACTGCACTCTCTTCGTAGGGGAGGAGGTTTGAGGCATTATCCCGCAGGCGGGGGAGACCTTGGGGGGTCACAAATATAGCAGTGCACCACCTCTTGTATGGTCCTCAACTACTGAACGGCTTCACCAGTTCTGGGTTGGACTTGTTTGCAGCAAAATGCAAGGAAAGGAAGAGTGAGAACTTCCTGTCCAGCTGTTTTAGAAGTTATTTAGCAAAAGGGCATTTAAGAAGTAGAGCTAGGACTGATTAACTCTGCTCCTCATCATCTCGTGCTTAATGGTCTTAGCTGTCGCTACCAAAATCTTTGTCTCCTGGCTTGTGCAAACTAAATGAGCTGCTTGAAATGTATGATCAATGCCTAAATGTTTAACGTTGATTGTTTAAATAGTTTTAAATGCAGGGAAAATATTTATTGGTCTGTCAGTCATTGATTATGACATGTTGCCATGATCATTGTGTATATACAGTATAGGTACAACATATAAGAGTAAGTACATATATGACAAAGTTAGGACAAACTGCTTATTGACCAATGTCAGTGGAAAAATCCACTCTAATCCTAAACTGCAGACACTTTTCACTGATCACACAGAACTCAGGTACGTTCTAAAGGTAGAAACACAACCAACCCAAGAGTCTCTTTTCATAAAAGCCAAAACCAGTTGAGATGTCCATCCTTTATGCCAAGTAAAATGTGTACAGACATTACAAAAAAAAAAAAACAGGTGTAATTTAAATTCAAATCATTACAGATTTTTCCAGAAGACATCACTGAATGTTTTGTTAAAGGGGTCACAACCCCATCTCCAGAACAAGCAGAATGTCATGAATGGATGGGTGAACATTGAACTCAAGAAAAAAATATCCCTGATATTTGATTCCTGACATTTAATGCTTGGCCGTTTATTGTGACATAGTACATTTTACAACCCCAGAAAATTCTATACCACCAGGAAAATGACAGGACACCCTTTGTTGCGGCAACATCACCGTGCAAGATGCATTCTCATTGCATTCTCCAAAAGCTCAAAGAAAAACCAAGAGATTTCCAAGCTTACGTCTAAGGAGCATGGCCAGAAATGAAGATTAAATGTGATGCTTGTTTCTGAACATCACCTGTTAGAAACTTCTCACAATCCTAAAGTTCAGTCTACAAACTATTTATATGGGATTTAATGCACTGTTGGTAAAATAGACTGAGAAGTGCAGATTTATTTAACTTTAGATGTACAGTAGATATGACATGTCCTGGGATGAAGAGCCATGTTTTGGAGGAATGAAGCATCGCTTTGCACGTTTTAAAGCTGCTGCATTAGTACATTAAAGAATAAGAAAATTAAATGGAAATTTACTTGGTCTATATTCAGTCTTTAAAAGCAGATTGATTGGTGCCACCTGCTGGTTGTACCAATGAACCAACATGGAAGGCGTTCAGTGGGCACAAACTACCAAACTAGGTTCCTGTATGCCATGTGCAGAACAATCTGTTAACACAAAGTAATTTAAAAAAAACAAAACTATTTTTTGTGGATTTATATGAGTTGAAAGGACAAAACTCCTCGATCTAAAGCACTGGTTTCCAAAGACTCCACTGTTGGTCTGCAGACTTGGGGGTCCTGAGATAATCTCTATAAACAAACCAAATGTCAAAATGATTTATTCTAGCATGTTTTAACTAAATTAAAAAAAAAGATAAAAAATATTAGTATAGAATTTATTCTTTTTTTTGGTATTTTTATGGAAATATTTGTCGTTCAACCAAAAATATTTGGGGCCACAAGTCTTTGCCGTTGGTGTTTTGGGAGTCAGAAGCTAAAAAGTTTGAAAACTCGCAGTTTAACGACTGAAGGTCACGATATATGATGTTGGACTTTCGTTGTAAAAACTGAGTGCTGGGTTGTTGTTTTTTTATTTAATTTTTTTATGTTTTTCAATCGCTGTCCTTTTATTTTTGTTCTGTTTCTGAAATGATATGCCTGATGTGAGGCTTTGGTTCAGAAAATACAAAGACGACCGATGACGTGAGACTTGGTTGTGTTTCTACCCTGATTGTGTTTTGACTGAATCTCAAACTAATCTGTTTTTGTTTTTTTTTGTTTCTTCTTCGTGCACAAAGTTTGGATTCTACAGTCACCGTTTAAAATGCTTATTTTGTCACTTACCATAAAAAAAAAGAAACATCTTAGCATTAACACATGTCCTACGCATGAATGACTTTCTGGTTAGCTTCCAGTTAGCTTAGCAAAGCAACGAGCAAGCTTGGATTGTTGAAAATTTCTAAAAAATATAGTTTCTATTCAAAATGTAAACGAGTTTATGATTTATGTGTGAACTCAAATATCTATTTTGTGCCTATTTAGCTCTTAATCTGTTTGTTTGTTTAATTTCAGGTAGCTGTTAGAGTAGCTCATCGGATTTCAGGGGGAATTTTTTCTACTCGTCGTTTCTTGCAGTCACAGAAAGCTGATATTAAACTAACACAGTAGCTCAGTGTGACACCTTAATGTAGATCTGAATGAAGTGAGTTGTGCTCGGTCTGTGATCCGTGTATATTTCTGCTCAACCTGTTGCTCTTGTGCTGTAGCTAGTCCTTACCTGTCACTCTGGTCAGTGTGTTTCCAGTGCAGCTTACAAGAATTATCCATCACAAAAATAAAAAAGCTGCTTCTTGTCTTTAACGGATCATCTCACAAAAGATCTCTTCAGTGGAACACGTTAACGGACACTTCGTGTGACATCTTTTCATCGCAGCTCTTTTTAAAATGGTATTTTCATGATTTGTAAGAGTGGACTTTGATCAGAGTGACATTCCTTTTTTTAAAATCTCGTCGGTCAAGCTGTGTCTGTTTGGGACGAGTTGACGATATCGGAGGATACAAAGGTAAAACGCTCTCAGGCCGTCTGAGCTGGAGCACTTTCTTGAAGGCGGTGTTCACATTCAAGGAGCTGACGGTGAAAATGAAAGAAAACCGTGATGATTTTTTCAAAGCATCTGCAAAGAAACGAAAGCTGAATTAAAAAAAACGATGAACGTTGACCTCTCAGAAGAGACAACCTACACTAATGAAAACTTCTTAAAATCTAAAGTACATAAAGATGGGATCTTCTGATTTTAGTTGCCTAAAGTTTTTATTATTATTAGGGATGCACGATATTATCGGCAATCGTATCGGCCGATATTAGCGTTAAAGTTAAATATCGGACATCGGCCATTCCACGTGTGCCTGCATGATCTGATCACGGCGGAGAGGAAGAAGTCAAAATGTCGGTGGCGTGAAAGTTTATTTTTTATTTTTCATTGAGGATATTGGATTCCAAAGATTTCTGGACTACGTTGAGCCTCGATACATCGTCCCCAGTCCAAGATATTTGTCCGACGTAACGTTACCCGAGATACAAGCCGTCATTTCCGACGTCACTGAGAAGCTAATGGACGATAGCACGACTTGGGTGAGTTTTACCACAGACGTTTGGCACAATGGATAGACAAAAACTTTGATCTTAAAAAGTCTGTCCTTCATGCACCAGAGGATCCCACGCTGCAGCTATAGGAACCTGGAACAAACCTCCACAAGTGAGACAGCGTCGCAGGTGACTCATGCTAATAAATAACATTTAACACTTTTCATTTAATATAAGTTAACATGCTATGCATATGGCTGTTACTGAATATATGTCACCAGCTCTTACAGCTGTTGCACAATTTTTGTAGCAAATAATCTAAATAAGAGGAATATGTTCCGACAATGTAAAGTATACTAAAATATCTGTATCGGTTATCGGCCAAATAAGTTTTAACATATCGGATATGAGCCAAAAATACAATATTGTGCATCCCTAATTATTATTATTATAGTGTATTTTTATTCACTTTATACATTGTAAGCAACAGATTGTATATCCAAAACATTATGTCCACTGATTTATCCCGACTGTTCTGGTGTTCGATACAGTTCTGATCTCATAAGAAGAAAATATTTCAAGTCAATCCTTCAAAGCTTAAAGCACCACATTATTTCTGCAAAGTCTCACATCCACCCTGCAGCGTAGCTGTGCAAACCTCCAAACTTGATGTTTTCTAAAGTCGGCGGGCAGGAGAGTTGTGATGCTTTGTGGTCAAAATGAGTTCTTGTCAGGGACAATCATCATCATATCTCTTACTGAAATCCATGAAAGGATTTAATGAACGCCGTAAACGACGCTTAGCTCAGTTTGCTCAGCTACGTTCCATTTGTTGTGCTCTCATCGTCCGACTGTGCGGATGAATTCAACCAGGAGGCCAAAACGATGAGAAAGAAGCCATATGTTGCAAACGTTTGAGCGTGGGAGGCAGCCTCCGCCTTTCTGTGAGGATGTGAAACAAAAGATCAAAAAGTGTTAAACACAGGTCGATGTGACGAACGGTGATGCAGCCGAGAGTCAAGATGGATCTATGAGGCCAGCATGACGTTGGGATGATCTTAAAGCTCATAAATTTACTTCTATGCACAATTTAGAGTTAATCTGCGTCACGTGCTCGTCTGAGTTGATCATTTTAATAAGGACCATCATCTATTATTGAACAATAGCCTCTAAAGTCCCGACAGATTACTTTTTATTGATTTAAGATTTACATTTTTAGGGAGTTTGAAGGATTTAATTTATTTGTGAAATATTTATTTGGGTTTGAGGCCTTGTGTGAAAACTGAATGTTTTTAGGCCAACTGATGCAGAACATGCCTTATCTGAACGAGTCTTTGTTTCAAAATGCTGAGTTTTTAATTTATGTAAATATCTTGTACAATCATTTTATTCATATGTTGCTCTAAGGTGTTCATAATTTTATCACAGTAAAGCAATAAGTGTTTTTTTTATTTTTGTGTGTGTTTTAATGTTCAGGAAAAAGTCTGATCCAACGCTCCTCCAGTTGTTACCCTCCAAAAACAAAAAGCTAAATAAATTATTGAATTCTTCTTTGTGATGCAGAGAAGCGACGACTCACTTTCTGGAAATTTGAGCAACGTGTAATTTTTTGTTTGTTTTTGTTGTTGAAGTTCTTGTAGTGCGAGGTTGTTGCTCCGTGTGAATAACATTCACTAGTTGCACTCCGGAAATATTCAGAAGAATTCAAAAACTCAATTTTCTAAAATAGAAGAGCATAAAATGTAGTACAATTATTGCTGCCTTTTTGATCATTTCAGGAGTTTTTGTTTGTTGGTTTTTTGTTTGACCGCACACTCGAGCTTCATTTGAAGTTTTTGTCGTGGTCAAAATGAATGAATTAACGATGGTTCTGCTTCACCGAGTCTCTCGTTACAATAAATATGAAACTTATAAAACACGTCCAGGTCAAAACAAATGTCGTTTCATTTCTGAGGCCTCAAACAAAGCGACAAGGTTTTGAACATAAATATTTTCATGATACAGTGTGCTAAATACTCTTAAATATTTTGGACATTTTGAGATGGGGTTCTGTGATGAGCAATAAATATCTTACCTGGTGTAGATACATTTTTTGAACGGATCGTAGTTATGAACTAAAGTTGGCTCCAATCTTCAAACTAGCGGTTCATGAAAATGCAAAAACCTTCACGTCACCATCAAACTTGCATCATGTGGTTATTTTGGCAGAAATCTGTTCTTGCTTTTATTTGCCGGTCAGCGTTTTTAAAGATGGAAAAAATGTGCCATATATTTCCGTTTGTTCAAAATGGAAAACGAACTATGTTGGGATTTCTTTGCCGCCATGTTCGCCCCACATCCTGAGAGCGGGACTGTACCCTCGATGTAAAAGTCCCGCCTGCTACACACCCTCCCAACTTGCCAACACACTGCAACACTTTTCTTTACTTCCTCGTCTAAGTTTTCTTTGTGTACTCCGGTTTCCTCCCACAGTCTAAAAATATGTATGTCTGCCCGCAGGCCCAAGATTTGTGATCTCACTGGGATTTGCCTGGTTTAAAAAAAGTTATAAATAAAATTACCTTTTCATTCAACCTTTATTTAGACAAGTAAATCCCATTGAGCCTCGAGGACTCATTTACAAGAGAGACCTGATCATTTGAATATAAGCCACGCCCATTAAATGTAAAAGGGAAAAGAGTTGTACATATGTAGGCCGTGCTGGTCTACAAGCCGCAGGCGTCTACGTTATGGAACCAAGTTTCATTGGTTCACTGTGACATATCAGGAAATTTAATTGGTCAGATTTTTTTTTAAACTTTTATTTACACAGGTCTCCTTGAGTCACGAGGACCCACCCCTGAGAGAGATGTGTATTGGGCACCCGGGTGTGAAGAGACATGTTTTTGGCGGCATGAAGCTTGTTAGCCCTTCCAAAAATATATATATATAATAATTCCATATATTGAGCGCAGCATTGTGTAAGCAGCGAGGTTCAAAGCCTGTGAAAAAAGTAGCGGCTTCTAGTCTGAAAATTACAGTATAATATTTACATTTATCGATCAATCGATAGTAGATACACACAGTGAAAGGAGTGTGTGCGTGTGTGTGTGTGGGGGGGTCTATATTATAACTCTGAGAAGCAACAAAAACCGACACCTGAAAAAATAAAATATTAGAATACCTATATTTTTATGTCAGGAAAATGACCCATTTGTTTACATGAAGGGGCGGAGCTTAAAACACTGTACTGCTGCCTGCCACTGGGGGGCGCTCATCCGTTGTGACTTCAACTTCAAGCTTCCGGTCCTGTCTTTAGTTAAGTGGATCTTTGCTAGACATGTCCCAGGCCACACAGGAAGTGACACAACTAGCTGCTGCTGCAAGTTGCACTTGCAAATAATCACATGATTAAGTAGAATACAATAATATTTATTAAAAATAATAATACACCTTATTATAGTGTATTATCACGGTTTAGGTTATATCTTAGATCCTCGTGTACGGTTTCTTTTATAATACTTTGATTTTTGTTATTTTGTGTGTAACTGGGACCTTGAGTACACAATTTCATTCCACCTCATGTACCACGTGATGCGAAGGACAATAAACTGCAGTCGTTTTAAGGAGGCTCAAATTCATTTTTATCAACCTGGGATTGGAGAAGCCAAAAGCTTCTTACAACTTTTCTACAAAACCCCACTTCAAAGGGTCTTAAATATTATTTTTAAATTTTGACCAGACTCGTACGTTTGATGTTAGCGGGAGTGCGTGGCAGTGGTTTAACGATACATCCGATACTTTATTCCTCATCCGACGTGTACAGAGGTCCAGTTTACCATCGAGCTCCCGCAGATGTGCCTGTGCAGAATCAAAGTCGACATATTTAATAGATTTGGGAAACATTACGTGAAATAACTATTTTACGTGCAATAGTAGAGTGTACAGTAAAACACGTAGTCTGTATCTCCCATCTCACTGTATGGAGGAAGAAAAAACATGTATTAAAACAGCATGGAGGAACTACTTGTTGTTTGTCTGGTTTATTACATTTAACGTAGACTCCCGAAGTGTAAAAACTCCGTTCTTCAGTTTTAGGTGTACAAGCAGCGGTTGGTTAAAGTAAAATCTGTCCAGTAGTTTGAGATATTTTGCTAACAGTACAAACAAACAGAGGAGCAGGCAGAAACATTTACCACTCCGCCTGAGCGCAGTTTAAAATCCAAACAGCAACGGTGAAGTGAGCAGAAAGACTTTATTTGTTTGACAATATCATCTTGGTTACATTCGTATATAAACTTTTAGATTATTTTTTTTCTAATATTTTTTTTACAGAACGACAGCATTTTATTTTTCTCATCAGATCCCAGACCAAGAGAGTCGAAGAAGTACATGCATCTGAACAGCAATAAAAGGAGAAACTCTATATAACAAGTAGAAATTCACAAGTGTAAGCTCTGCTCAGTCTGTGCTCATCATTGGGGGGGGGGGGGGGGGACACGCTGGGGAGGGCATGTTCACGTTAACCCGTCCACGTGGAAATGATTCTCAGCAACAAGTCCCAGCTGCTGTCTGTATCTCATACACAGGACTTTTTAAGGGGTTTTCTCATCAGCATGAGGCACCACAAACACTTTTTACAATAAAAAAGGGAAACTTGTTGAAATGAACGCAGGAACCTCTTTTTTTAAAAGGTCATGAAAAGTGCACTTAGTGGGTCGGCCCGGCTCAGGCCCCCCTATCAAATAATACAACGGTTCCCTTGAACGCGACCGCTTGAAACACGACACTTTGCAACCGGTCGTAGAAAATGTGCTTGGACTCTTCCAGCTGCGAGGGGCGACAAGCATCATTTTCCTCTCGGAGACTTCCCCTGGAGCGCTGAGACGACGCGGAGGAGGAGGGGGAGGAGGAGTCTGCAACCTTCACCTTCAAAACCGCCATTTTTAACAACTACACGCGAAGAGACGCAAAATCCATTCGACGCCTAGAAACACGCGCTGTATGAATTTTAATCACCCAGTTAGAATTAAATTAACAGGAAGCTGCAGCCAAATGTCTTAAAAGAACATCTCTGACTTTTTATACTTCTATTTTACTTTTTTTGGTCAGGTGTGCGTGAACCAGCTCTCATTAACAAACACAACCTGGATATTTTACTATAATCGCAACTTTCTTCTTCTTAAACTAGTCGTTTCTACTGTTCGCATTAAAATGAACTCCCTGCGTGTTTTTGCAAAGCCTCATTTTGATGCTTTAATATCTAGAACAGATGTGATGTGCACACCTGTAACATCTGAATCTACAGCAGTTTGGACCGAGCCAGTTTTATTTAAAAAGCTGATTTGTAGAACAACTACGGGTGTTAGAAAGCTGAATAAACCAAGTATGAAACGTCGTGAGCGCTGCAGAAAATCTGCCATTTAAACAAGTTTTAGAGAGAACCAGCGCTGCAGCCCAAAATATTTGCACTGTGGTGCAGGAATCTTGTGCACGATGTGCAAAACAAAAGGACAAGCAGTATAAGCATTCCTCAGGTTGGTGCCATCTTTAGTCGCGGTCACCCGGAGGTGCAGGTTGCAGACCCCTGCAGCAGGGGTTGGTCGCCATCACTCGGAGAACACGGAAAACTACAAACGTGTGACTTCGACGTGAAAACAGCGACTGCACATTTTCAAAAAGCTAAAAAAAATTTCCAGCATTCGGTAGAAACTAAAATCAGCATAATGGGTGAATCACTCCTACTGGCCAGAGTTATCTTATGAGACTTTGTTGGTCGAGCTCGTTTAAAGAGGACGTGCGCAGGAACTGGGAGCGCACGTTGACGGCTGCCGATCACCTTCAACAAGCGTGACGCCGACTCGCATCTCCACACTGAGGAGGAAGCTCTGGACTCATGATAGTTTGTGCAAGTTTGAAAATAAATGACAGAAAAAATTTAAATGTTCTGATCTGGAATTTAAAAAAAAACGCAAAAGAGATCAACATAGCAGACTAAACTGTTAACGTGCAGACAGATCTGATGTATAAAATGTAGAAAAAGTCAAGAATTCGCAGAGGAAAAAGAGACGAAAGGCATTTTAAAAACGTTAAAGGTATAAAGGAAGAAGATGAAGGAGATGTACGTTAGGACGAGTTTGATATGAGGACAGAGAGACAAAGTTAAAGAAGAAAAGGAAAAGTCTGTTTTGTAGACATCCTGACAGTTCCTGGTCCTCACACCTCCGGGACGGAGTGATCCATGGAGGACCGCAGGAGACCGGTGGACATCCTGGAAAAATAAATTAATATAAGTAATATGTTATATAATAAACATTGAAGACTCTCAGGACTTTTTTGGACAAACAAAAAAGGCATTTACTGAACAGTGGAGTCATAAATAAAAAGAATGCAGAGGTTAAATGCAGTCGGCTTACTATAAGCGACTTTAGGCTTTTTTTTCTAAAGTCACTTGTAAATCTTGTGAGTCGCGGGTTCATTTTTTGGGCGTGAAGTTGCTCATTTATCGATTTTCTTTCCGAGTGAAACTAGTTGATCATCTCCCAGCTCCAAACAATAAAGCAAAAGACGAGTGGTAGTAGGTAGTTTGTCCCTTCCAAGCCCCCGTTTCCTGCTTATCCTCTCGGCGACAGGCGCACACCCAAACAAACACTCATACTGTGGCCGACCACTGGGGGGCTCCACTCACACACATATCAGGATGTTTTGTTTTTAAAAATATGTAGAAAAAATATGATTTACATATTTGTTACATATGCAATATGTATTTTTTTTAATCGGAGCTTAAAAGTATGTTATTCAAAGTGTTTAGCATAATTTTGCTGTTGTTTACGTGTAATGCCATAATAAATGTATGTTTATATGACTCTGTTTTACACAATGTGGTGGGTTGCCAGGTGGGCTTTTATTGGGGGGCTTTTTTTCATGGAGCTGGTTGCTTGTTTCTATCTAGAGATCTGGCAACACTGGTTAAACGTCACTATTTTGACTTTTAATACAGTAAGGAGCAAACTTCTGATTTACTCTTCACAGCTTTTGTTTGTCAACAGTTTTACTTTTTAAAGTTCAACAGTAAATTATTGTGATTTGTTTAATCGTAGAATAATTCTGTAAACAAAATGTACAAAACCTTCATGACAGGTGGTGAAACTCCATTTCATCATTTGGACTTTTTGAACAACTAAATAGATTTTTAACTATTATTTAAGATGTAAATGTAAAAAAAAAAAACATTAAAATTTCTGTTTTTTTACTTGAGTTCTTTCTAATAATTCGATTTTTCCAAGACTTTTAATAAACGAACGTTGTAAAGTGACTTCCTAAACTCAGATTAAACTGTTCAGAACTTTTACAAATGATACAGAAAATAAAACGATTAACTTAAAACTCATTCACACTTTAAAAAAAAAGTGAGATTTTTGGTGAGGATGCAAATATTCTGTAAAATCCATCAATGAAGTGAATTTAATAGAAACAAGCGGTGCACCGATGTCCCTCGCTGCTGAAGGACTTGAACAGTGAATGTTTGTAGTTGTGCAGATGAGTGTTTTTCTGGACTGGAGTTGAACGGGGAACGAGGTCAACCTGAATGTTTTTGGTGCGAGATGTTCAAGTGGAGGAGTTACCCTGAGGAGAAGAAGAGGGAGGTTTTATTGTTGTTGTCCGAGGCAGAGCAGAGCGACGGATCCTGACGAGTGGAGGGAGCAACTTTATCCACCACCAGGTGCAGTGGAGGAGCCAGGGGGTGGCCAGTGGTGGCCTTGACCACCTTAAACTTTGGCCACCCCAACCAATCATTTGAGGAAACTAATTTTAAGCAATATAAAAACTAGAAAGCAAAGTTTCCTCAAATGATGGGGTGGTCGGTTTACATGTATGTATTTTTGTGGCCATTTTGGATTTTTGACGTGGCAGCCAAATTGTCAAAAGGAACATTTCTTGTAAGAGCTGCAGCTACGTACCTAAATAAAAATCTGTGCCTCGCTCATTCCAGTTCCTCCTTTTTGCTCCGGGACGGGAAACAAAAAGACGGATACAGCACCAAGCTTTCAAAACTGATCTAGCTCATTTAAAACGTCTGCTGCTACTGAATTTTTATATTTCTATTTTTAAATGTGCAGACACAAATAACTAAAATGTTGCAGTTAGATCAAGAAAAAAATATGTTTTTAAACTGAGCAAAAAGGCGTGAACACAGAGTCTTTTTAGACTTACAGTAAATCTTTGAACACAAAAGTAGTGCTAGAAGACCTTACATAAATTATTTGTGTATTATTAAGGAATTATATGAGTTTTTAAACAGTTACTATGAAAGACAGTTTGATTTAACTTTGTGTTATGAAACAGAATTTTTATGTAGTGGATTTTTTTGGTTGATAAATTTTTAAAAGTCGTGTCATGAAAGCCTCGACTTCGGTCCTACCTCTTGATCATGTGTTCATAGATGAACTTGGGCATGATGGTAATCGTCATGGTGGTTGGAGAAGTGTTCAAAATGTCCTTGATCTGAGAATCCTGGAAGATGTAGCACAAAGAAACAACAATATAAAAAACAAACGCGGGCGATTTACAGTTTTTCTACATTGTTGTGTAAAAATCTGAGTCCGGTATTTAAAACGTAAACGGTCGTTTCATTAATTTCCGTCATTTCTCCACACGTGAAGACGATCAAACAATTACAAAAATAGACAAAAATAACTAGAGAAACTGCGTTTCCTGTGAAAATGCAGTGTTGCAGAAGAACTTGCTGAAAAACTGCTGAAATTAGTTAAAACATGCTGAAATGCAAGAACAAGCATACGGTAACAACAGAAGAAAGAAGAAAGAACAAATATTTACTGAATTAGGTTTAAATAAGCAGAAATGAGAACAACAATTAGGAAATTAGCTTAAAAAAAGCTGAAATTAGTTTACAAAAAAACAGCTGAAAGTAGCTGAAAAGACAGAATGAAGATTAAACTACCAGAAGGAAGCGGAAAGAGCTAAAATGAGCTCCAAGATTGTGGAATTAGCCCCAAAAAAACTACATTTAGCATAAAAACAGCTAAACAGTAGCTGAAATAGGAGGAAAAGCTGAAATTATCAGAAATAAGCTGAAAGGAACATAACAAGCTGAAATTAGCAGAAATTACCAAGAAAAACTGGGATTTATTTGAAAACAGTTGAAATTAGCTAAAAAAAAAAAATAAAAAAAAAAGCTAGCTGAAAAATTAGACCAAGCTTAAATTAGCAGAAGGAAGCAGAAAGAACACGTTTTTCCAATTACGCTGAAAGAAGCAGAGCTTAAAACAAAAAAGTGGAAATTATCTGAAAAAAAAAAAAAAATGAAATTAGCAAAACATTTAAAAATTTTAAAAACAGCTGAAAGTAGCTAAAAAGGCAGAAAGAAGCTTAAATTACCAGAAAGAAGTGGCGAGAGCAAATTTTTGCTGAATTAGGCTGAAAAAAGTTTAAATGAGTGCAAAAAAGTTGAATCAGCTGAAAAAGCTAAAATTTGCTTATAACAGCTGAAATAACTGAAATTAGCCAAAAACTGCTGACAGGAATACAATAAGCTGAAATTAGCTGAAAGAAGTTAGAAGAAGCACAAAAATGTTATAGTTAGCTGAAAGAATCTGAAAGAAGCACAAAACAGCTGAAAGTAGCTGAAAAAAAGTTTAAATTTGCACAAGGAAGCTGAAAGAAGCTGAAGCAGAACAAAATATAAAGGAGCAGTAAAAGGTTGTAAACAGGTCTAAAGATGTGAAGGATGTAAAATGAGCTCAATTAATTTTCTATGAGGAAAAATGGCAGAAAAGGCTAAATATTTCAAAAGCTAAAGCTGCACCAATACCAAAAGTCACAGCAGGATTGTCCTGAAAGAGCTGAACGTTTTGATTTATGATTTGTTGAAATAGAAGAAAACTGTGGGAGGAGAATTGTACCGAGAAACATAAAGAAGAAAAACGGATCACAATAGTGTGAATACGTCATAAACATTCACAGTTATTAAAACCTTCAGCATGGCACAGACGGGCTGAAGACAGAAAGCTTTTCATGATCATTTCAGTTTTGGATTTTGTCACATTTAAAGCCTCTGACTTTCGACTCCTGTAGCGTTCGGTAACTTCTTGTTTTCGTTCCTCGCACTGACCAAACAGAACGTCATCAAACTTCTATTAAAGAAGATACAGAAGACTTTCGGAGAAACACGACAAAAGAAGTCTGACCTTGAGTCCGATGACGTTCTGCCCGTTGATTTCACAGATGTAATGTTCGGTCAGCAGGCCGTTACGAGCAGCGGAGCCGTCTTTGACCAGGGAGGTGATTTTACCAGACTTGTAGATGAAGCCCACGTGGCCGGAGCTGTCTTTGTGCATGGTGATGGTGCGCTGGAATGGTCTTGATGCAGGAGAAAAGCAGGTGGGAAAATTAAACAAAAACTCAAAATGAACGTTTACGGCGCTCATCTCCACCCTGACGATGAGAGAAAAGGCAGGTGCTCCTCACCTGTCCCTGACCACCATCTCGATTCGGGTCTCAGCGGCAGCTTTCAGAGCCTTGTGGGCCTTGTCTGTGCTCCAGCCGGCACAGTTCTGCCCGTTGATCTGCAGGACCTGATCCCCGAAGCGCAGCCCGGCCAGGGCGGAGGGGGAGTTCGCCTGCACCAGCTGGACGAACAGGCCCTGAGAGAGAAACAGCCGAGAGGAAACCGGAGGACGAAAAAAACGATTTATACTCAACTCAAATGTTGCATATTTCTTTAATAGAAGAATAGAAGTTAAAGAGGCCAAACTGCTGGGAGTTATGATAGATCAAAGAGCGTCGTGGTCCACAGATTGTGACTAAAACAAGTAGAAACATCTCAATAATTCAGTGTAATGTGTCAGAGGAATTTAGGTAAAGGTTTAGGATGTTTATCACTAACGAATGTTAAATTAATGTTGAACCATGTGTGTGAGGGCAAAGTTTTTAGTGTCAAAACAAAAAGGGTGTCAGCAAAGATCAAAGGAAAAGTTTACAAGACAGCGGTGAGACCAGCTATGTTGTATGGTCTGGAGACAGAGACATGGACAGAAAGACAGGAGACAGAACTGGAAGTAGCAGAAATGAAGATGTTGAGGTTCTCCTTCAGGAGAGACAAGGATGGAGAAGATCAGGAATGAGATCATCAGAGGTACAGCACAGGTTGAACAACTGGGAGATAAAGTTAGAGAGGACACACTGAGATGGTTTGGACATGTCCAGAGGAGGGACAGTGGTTATATTGGAAGAAGGATGTTAGAAATGCAGCTGCCATGAAAAAGACAAAGAGGAGATGTATGGATGCAGTTGGAGAGGACATGGAGGTAGTTGGAGTGAGGACAGAGTGAGATGAAGGAGGACTCAGTGTGGAGACCCTGAAGAGGGAAAAGACTGAAGAAGGTGAAGGAGGAGAAGGAGAGAACAAGAAGAAGAACAAGAGCAAGAAAAACGTGAAGAAGAAGGTGGGTGTGGACCCATGGAAGAATAGTCTCTAATCTCTAGTCTCTAATGGGTAGGCCTGTCACGATAACAAATGTTGCTGGGCGATTAATTGTCTCAGAAATTATTGCGATAAACGATAATATTGTTTGAAATTTTACAATAATTAGTAATAATTGTCAAATTTAAGAAGAAATGTTGGTTAATTTGTTTTTTTATTGACCACTGGTATAAGACTGTTTGAACCAAAGGATGGATGGTGAGGGAGCGAGCAGCGTGTCTCTTTAAGTAAAATGGGAGGGAGGCCCCTTGACACGGCATGGGCTGTTTTCAGTTCTCCAAATGGTGGACACTCGGTGTGGTTTGAGCTCTTTAGCATAGAATATTTCACACAAATAAAAAAATCAGTAAACAAGTTCTCAGCTTCTTTTTGCAGAGGAAAAACAACTTTTTACACGAAGGCGCGGGTTTTAACTGTGAATTTTGGAGCTTCGACAAGACGGAGGTTTTTCCTGAGGTCGGCCTGTTAGCTTAGCTCGTAGCTTAGCTTCTCAGCTTAGTTGTTTTTAATGATCCAAAAACGCAATTTTGGATCATTAAAATGGATTTTAAAGAGAAAAGAGAAAGGGAGGGGTCAGTGAAGAGCGCTGGAGTTGAGCCTTTTGTCGTCCAGTGTCTTCAGTAGAGAGAGACACGAAGAAACGATAAAGCCGATAAATGAAAACGAGGTTGATAATTTTCATTTATCATGCGATTAATTGATTTTTTTATCGCAACAGGCCTGCTAATGGGGACCCTCAAACAAAAACGAAATTGTGTTTAGCTTTAGAGCAAGCGTGACACATCTGCAACATCTGCATGAAAACTAATATTAAGAATGTGCACATGACTGTGAATGTTTGTCAAAGTCTGTCACTATCAATTAAATAAAATAGGCAAATAAAATTCAATAAAACTTGCTTTCCGGGCTATGAAAAGGTTACGCTGGATATTATCCAACAATCAAATGATCAGGGCTCTGCGTGGTGTTAAAACTGTTCTGGAGTGGATCGAAACACAAAACAACCTGAAAACAAAACATTCACCGTCGTCACCGATACGATGCCGTAAAGCCTCAAACTTAAGAGTAATTCTAAAACTTAAACCTCATATTGTGTTTTAACTTTCATTCAAATCGTGTTCAGGAACGGATCAGTCGTATCTTCCACACAGAAGGCTGAGCGACCGTATAAAGCCTCCTGAAAGGACTGCTGCAGGACGGGTCTTGTAGTTTAGCTCTTCCAGGTCTCTTCAGTGATCTTTGAGCCTCAGAGTGAAAGATTGAAGGTGCAGCCGTGTGGTCGGAGGCTTGTGAAACGACTATCGGTCCGTCCTGAATAATTCATGACAGTGCAGTAAGACGAGTATGAAAAATGCTGACTCACGTTGTCGATGGAACGGAGCCGGAGCCCCACCTTCCCGTCCTGGTCCTTACAGAGGATGATCTCTCGAAGCCCTTGACGGATCTCTGCCCTCCTTATGCCCACGTCTGCCCCCGTCACGGGCCGCACCATCGCCCCCACACCTGAGCTGAAGGGAACAGCCACCTGCTGTGGAGCAGGTGGAAGTGGGTTAAAATGCAACATAAGAGAGTTTATCAAAATATAAATATGTGAAAAAAATTACTTTTGAAGTGAATGTGACCAGGAATGCTTCAGGCGCTTGAAAATTTAAATTATGCTTTAAAATTGAGGAAATGGGAAACATGGGTGAATGTTTCTGCAAACAGACTTCACAGATGATGAAAAGTTTGTTGACGAGCTCAGGTTGTGCACGATCTACATGCACACACACACTGTGTGTGGGGGGAGTGCAGCGCTCACGCTCTCCCACACACCGCTGCGGGCCTGCAGTGAGTCATTGAGCTGTGTGGACCTCCAGGATCACACAGCCGACGGCTCTGAAGCCTCATCAGGGTTGGGAGAGGAACAATGAAATATTTTTGTAATAAAACATTCTGTGCTTTGTTTCTCTTCTTTCTGGCAAAGTTGTGCACAAAACATTACTGATGCACCATGAAGCTTCTCAGAGATGCTTACGTTGTCAGCCACGGGCACAAGGGCCAGGTTCCTCTGGACTTCATCGCTGTTCAGAGCCAGGCCCATGTACGTTCCAAGCTCCTCCAAATTGGGGTACAAAGCTGCAAGAACAGGGAGAGAAAGACGAGGATTAAGATGAAGAAGAGGATGAGTAAAAAAAGGGCGTGGAAAGAAGCAGCAGATGGTCGCAGGCCGAGCAGAAGGTGGAAGACGTGGAGGAGTGAAACCAAATCAGCTTATGTCTTGACCTTCTCCAAACCCTCGGAGTTTAAGTGAGATTTTTACAGAAGTTACAAAACTACATGAACAACTTCTATTTTGCACCATCCGTCACAACACCTGTGGTTTTAGCTGCGTTAAGACTTTTACTGGAAGATTTTTGTGATATGGTGAGTTCAACTTTACAGGAATCAGCATCTCTCATATAATCTTACAAACGATGTGCCGCTTAGTGTTGCATTTACAAATGTAAATTAAGATGTCCAGATGCATGCTCCATAATCCAGGTAGAAAAATCTAAAAAAGTTACATCTGGTCCTCTGGACATGAAAAAAAATTAAAAATTGTAGAAACGTTTCGTCTTTCATCCGAAAGACTTCCTCAGTCTGAGGTGTTGTGTTCAACACTTATCAGACTGAGCTGAACACAGCACCTCAGACTGAGGAAGTCTTTCAGATGAAAGACGAAACGTTTCTACAATTTTTAATTTTTTTTGAATGTCCAGAGGACCAGATGTAACTTTTTTATGTAAATTAAGATGGCAGATTTATAAATATGAACACAAGCTTTATGCAAACTGGAGCCAACAGAAAGGTAGTCAGAAGAGGAGTCAACTGAACCCGAGGCTGCAAGTTTTGGTCAGTTATTTATTTACAATAATGATGGATGGAGATGGATGGAGATAGAGAGAGAGATAAGAGATGGATGGAGATAGAGAGATAGATATAGATAAAGAGATAGAGAGATAGATAAGAGATATATCTCACTCTCTCTCTCTCTCTCTCTCTCTCTCTCT